GTATTTTAAAATAAAATAAAATACAAAACCCAGAATTTTAACACAAAAATAGCAAATTTTTGAATACGGTAGTCATTTTTAACGTTAAGACAAATCCAGAGGTCAAATTTTTTTTTTTTCAAATTAAAGTATATTATATAAGGTTTAATTTAAGATATATATAAAAGTGTCAGTATTTCCGGAATACTTTCAAAAATTAAATTGAAAATATCTTAGTAACAATACGCATGTTTAAAGTTTTGACCCCCCTTGTTAAAGGGGTATGATCCGATTTACAAAAAAAGCGTGCCAGATGAAAGGGGTATATAAATATTTATTATAAAAAAATAATAATATTGATCCATACATTTTTCCAAAAGTTATATAAAATATAAATTAAATAATATAACATATAAAATCGAGATTTTTTTCACGGAAATCGTACGTTTTTCTTTAACTTTGATGTCCGTTTTCACCACGAAGACAAGTCCAGAGGTCAAATTTTTTTTTTTCAAATTAAAGTATATTACATAAGCTTTAATTTAAGATATATATAAAAGTGTCAGTCTTTCCGGAACATTTTCAAAAGTTAAGTTGAAAAAGTTCTACTTTCTATACGCATTTTAAAAGGTTTGCACCCTCCCTGTATAAAGGGAAATGGTTCGATTTTGAAAAAAAGTATGTCGAATGAAAGATATATATATAAAGTATTTATCATTAAAGAATAAAGTTGATTCATGCATTTTTTAAAAAGTTATAGCAACATAATGTTAAAAAATGTAAAATATAATATCAAGAATTTTTTCACAAAAATAGCATATTTTTGCATACGGTAGTCATTTTCACCATGAAGACAAGTCCAGAGGTCAAATTTTTTTTTTCAAATTAAAGTATATTACATTAGCTTTAATTTAAGGTATATATAAAAGTGTCAGTCTTTCCGGAACATTTTCAAAAGTTATGTTGAAAAAGTTAATTTTTTGTGAAAAAGTTGTCATTTTAAATCCCCTTCTGTGGACAGGGAAAGGGTCAAATGTTCACAAAAATATATAAAATGATAGTTAAATATTTAAGGTATCTATAAAAAAAATGTATATTGATTCGGTTATTTTTAAAAAAGTTATGGCAATTTTAAGTAAAAAAAATTGAAAAAATATCGAAAAATAGCGATTTTTAAATTTGTAATTTTTTGGGGGATTTCCCCCGTTTACGGGGAACGAGGGAATTTTTTTCAATTTTTGAGGGTAATGTCTTCGACTAGATACGATTTGTGATCTTTTGACATATTGTTCATCAAAATCGGTCCAGCGAGAGCTGAGATTGAGCGTTCACAGANAAAATCGGTCCAGCGAGAGCAAGAATTTAATTTTTTTAGAACATAATATTTTATTTTTTGCATTATTAAAAGTGATACAAAGTGATAACTATTAATATTCCCAAATATAAAAAAAAACCTAATCACTAATAAAATTGTTTACATATACAATACTTTTAATAAAAATTGATAACATTATTAATTTTAGAAATTTATTATTGTCAAATTATAATAACTTACATACATAAAAGTGAATTTAAAGATACATGTTAACCGTCCTCCACTTTTCGGGAATATCGAGTAATGAGTTGTCATCTAAATTTGATTCTATTGCGTCTACTTAAAAATTATATTAAAAATTATTTATTATTCATTTATTATTTATTATTCAAGTATATAGAGTGATATTCATTTTTAATAAAAATTTCAAATATTATGGAAATCGATTTTTCATAAAAACACTCATTACTCTCAAAATAAATTCAATATTGAAAAAAAATGTTTGAGTTTTTTAATTACATTTGTTTATTGATTTATTAGCTATTAATTACTTTTCAGTATTATCTCTTATAACTTAATGCGGTGTCACTTAATTTTTTAAATGATAACATATAGAACTAGCTTATAAATAAGGAAATAATCTAATTTTTAAAGTGATTAGTCGATAAGAATTTTTGGACTCAGTGTTATAATAATTCAGTAATTATGATGATTATAATGTATAGTCTGGGGAGAGGCTCAGGTGTAGCATTTTAAATCATTAACAGAGTCGTAGAATGAATTATCGTCAATAACAATAATAACTATAGTTTAAAAAAACTAAAAAAACACGCTTTTAATGTACATCGAACTAAAAAGTTAAAAGCGTGTTTTGTTAGTTTTTTTAAACTATATTTATTTTTATCGTTTTAGTTTCATGTTATGATAGTAGTTACTATCAATATCATGGTTGTAATGGGTAACGGGAAATCAGGGTTCGATTCCGGGGAGGGAGCTGAGAAACGGCTACCACATCCAAGAAAAGCAGCACACGTTAGCGTATCCATTGAGCTTTGGCCCCATACTGAAATATTTATTTGGAAAAAACTCGCGTAATTATGCATTATTAATTTGTTTCCAAAAAATAACTGCTTATTAGTTGGGACATCAAAAATGTGGGTAAAAAGGTTCATGACCAATATGTAATAGAATTTATTAAACTTCTAAAAACCTTGGTGCTTTGAATAAACACAAAAATGTTTAAATACAAAACTCAAAACGCAGTTATATAGAACTTAAATTTTTTTTATTCGAGTTGTTCTTATTTGTACAATAGAATTGTAGTAAAAACAAATATTCATTAATATGAATTATTTAGAAATTAATTCGATTTTATAGATTATTTTATTCGTATGTTAATATATTGAAAAAATTTTTTAAAAAATTATAACGCTATATATATATATTTTATACGCATTGGACAAAATTAAAATAATCTTCGTATAAATATCGCGGCATTTTCGTAGGCGTCGGCGACGCGGTTTCCGGCAAGATTCTCGGGCGTCGAAAAGTTAGCAGCGTTAATGGTGACGGCACGCGGATGTGGATCGGTTCGGTCGTGTGGCACGTCAGGAGCCGGTGGCGTACATCATCGACGTTGCCACTTTAACAACGGGAAGAAGACTCAACGTATCATTTGCGGCGGGTCATCGTCGGCCGTGCGGCACTTGCTGAACTTTACACCGTGCGCGTATGGTCACTTATATTAATAGTAGGGCGACGGCTGATAAAGGTGGCACGAGTGACGGGGCCGTGTCTCAATAAAAATTTATTTACATATATATATATAATTGATGACACGCGCGCGTCTACTGGTTGGAAAATATTATTTTCGGCGAATGGTGAGCGGGGTGGGGTGAATGCGTTACGACCGTCTAGTCTCATGGGCGTGTGCGTGGAAAGTTACAAAGTACAAACAACAAACACACAACATACATGTGAAACTAATATAAGCGTGTTAAAAAAATTTGTGCCCCGAAATTTCAATATGTTGTTATTTATGTTAATGTTTTATTTACAGACAAAAAGATCTTTATTTAAAAAAATCGCTATAGATTGTGGCAAAACTATCATCATTTCATTGTATACTATAAAAATTGTTTTATTATAGTTTATATTGATATCCGAGGTTTATTTAAAGAGGGGAATGTAAAGCAATCATTTTTATAACATAAAATAAAACTGTACCTTCTTTAAAATTTTCATGGGGTAATGTATGAGCTAAATTTTCTGATGAAGTTCTAATTAATTCTAAAAATATACCAATTAATTGCTTAATTAATTTTTTACTATAAATTACAATATTCATAATACAAAATAAATATGTACCGTCTTCAGAATTTTCTTGTGGTAATAATTGAGGCAAATCTACTGATGAAATTCTATTCATTCCTTAAAATATAAACATTTAGTCGCTTAATTAATTTCTTACTACAAATTACAATATTCATAATATAAAATAAATATGAACCTTCTTCAGAATTTTCTAGCGGAAAAATTTGAGGTAAATCTACTGATGAAATTCTATTCATTTCTTAAAATATAAACAATAATTAATATCTAACCATAATATTCATACAAAATGAATCAGTACCTTCTTCCAAATTTTCATGTGGTAATGTTTGAGTTTTTTTTTCAGATGAATTTTTTTTACCCTCTGAAAATATAAACAAATGATTATTTAGCATGCATGTATTTACAAGTTCAAATATATATATATATTAACTAATTATTTGGAGAGGGTTATTGTTGTGTAAAGTATACTAATTATAAAATATACTCAGTTAGATGCATAACATGTTAGCTGAAAGGTATTGTTTTTTTTTTTCATAGCTTTTATTATATAAATATTATAATTCGACGATTACACAAAAATTAGGTGATACAGTATTAATTAGCATTATGATTTACAGAAATAAAAATACGTTAAGTAGTATAACAATGATTAAAGTATGTACAATAAAAATTATTAAATACAATAAGGTCGTTAAATAATACAACCAGTGCTTAATATAAAAGAAATAATAGCAGTAATCACAGAAATTTAATACCACAGAGGCAATAAAATTTGAAATGTCATTGGATTCTAAGAATTTTATAAGCATTCATATACTAATGGCTAAGGAGGAGAAGTTCAATAAATAATGGGAAAATCACCAACAACTTCTTCCTCATGCAAGTGGCGAATTAATAGATTAATATTTAAGAGTCTTGTTTGGTCTGTTAGCCTTTCCTATAACTCATGAAAGTCCGGAACCACAATTTGTGGCAAATTCAGGACTAAGTCTTCTAGCTCAACCATTTCGTCCTGCTGCACGAAGTTTACGCATATTGGTGATGGATCCCTTTCTTCTGATGGAAGACCATCAGAAGATTTTCCTTTTTCATAATGACTCCCTTATCTTATTTTTTTGTTAGTTACACGGGGTCCAGCCAATTGATAAGGTATGTGAGCGGTAGTACAACCAATCCTCTTCCTCAAAGCGTTTACAGTGATTATTACAGGAAAAATTGTGACCAGCGTTATTTTTACTAAACGATGACCTGAAATTTTGAGAAGGTTGTTTTCCGCTTGCAGAAATAAGTTTTTCACCAAAGACACTGCAGTTTTCGGTTACCACACCAGAATTATAGTCATTATTCGGCTTTTTCAGGGAAAATAGTTGTTTTCCGGTAACGATTCGGTGAAATTCTTTTTTTATTGTTGGTGTCCCGTGCGTGGTGTAACCACTTAAGTGCTACCCTGTCTATGAGCAAAGTAAATTTTCCGTCTAAGTGTGACCGGAAGCGATTCACGGCCCATACAATAACTAGACACTTACATTTTAAAGCTGAATACCGCGTCTGGGCGTGATATGGTCTAGGGACTCAAATAAACTCAAATTTACCGATGTATCCACGTATAACCTCGTTCACCAACTGTTAAAAAGTAGCCGGGGAGTTTTTAAGGCCGAAGGATATTACTTTATATTAGTAAAAGTCCAAAGTGTGTGTGCGGAACGCGGTGAGCCATCATGACACCTGGATCAAACTAACCTGTCAACAGCCAAATTTTTTATCTATAGCGCTGAAGACGTTAACCCCGGGCATTCCACAGACCATTTCATGCAAGTCAGGCATTGGATATGCGTCGGATTCTGTTTGGAAATTCAGTCTCTGGTAATCCACCCATAATAGCTGGGATTCATCTTTTTTCTTGGCGAGAACTACGGCAGCTACCCATGGTGAGGTTTTAGATTCTACAAAATCTTGTTCGTCCATTCCTTACACGATGTTGTGAGATGTTTTCCAATAAATTTTCCACGGTTGTTTCANGTGTAATAGTATTGTGTATATACAGATATACGAATGACTTGGGTCCTCTCTACTTCTCCAGAGAAAATTTCCGGGTACTTCAATAAAAATGATCGTGCGTCTTCTGGGATAACCACCTTTGGTTCGGTCACCCGTTTGGCAATAGGTTTTCAGCATACCATTGTTCTTTTATTTGTACCCAGGTGAATTGTACATGCTTGGTAGTCCCATGCCGCTTTGTGTTTCACCAAGAAGTCGTGGTCCAATAAAACGTCTTCAATAAGATGGTCTAGTACCGCGGCTCTGAATTTTACTTCAATATACAGACACCTGTGCTATGAATTCAGCGTACTCGTGAACTTGCAAAGTTTAGCTGTCAGCCAATGTGATTATACTTGCTTCTCTGTTTATTAATTTACCAAACTCGTGTACTACCCACAGTAAAAATAGGATTCAGTTGCTTGTGAATCCAACAGAGCTACCACAGCTTTTGTGGGAAATTGTAGCTCAATGCCTGGAAGTAGCACATTGTACTGGTTCGGCGTTCTTTATTAGGTTAATTTTACCTTGTGAGATGTTTTCCAATAAATTTTCCACGGTTGTTTCATAAGAGTTTGAATCCTGGTAGGATACTGAATGATAACCATGTTCTTAATAAAAAGTTTCTCCGGTAAGTTTTCGACTCGGACACGGAGGTCATAAAGTGAATCTGTGTTATATTCCTTTCGGTTCCAAGTGATGCTAGTGAAAGGAGTGAACTCCTTCGGAAGTATTACTGGGACAGATTGCGCGACTCTTAACAACTCATGAGTTATTAGGTCTTGTTTTGGGTCTTCAAGAGATTTGTTTGGAAAACTGTTCTAAGATAGAGCTGTTTGTTTTCCTTGGTCAGGATGTTGGGCACTACTCTCCAGTATTTCCGAACTGTGTTGAAATTAAATTTTAAAAAATTCTCTTTTCCTGGACCTACTAGAATTTTAGTCAGTTAAAACTGTAGGTTCATTAATATGCAAATTTTTAATTAAGGGTGCCAAAAATAATAATAGCTATAATTAATTTAGCACTTAAAAATATAAATTTCTTTAAACGCTATTACAAAATCATTAATCGACTTAGCCAGTAATGGAGTCAAGACTTCATTTTGTATTCCTTGGTACTTTAATTAGTTAACAACATAGAGAAATAGATAAAATGTATATTTTTAAAATTTTTTCTTTTTTTAATGATAATAAAAATTAATATAATTAATTTTAATATAAAATTAAAATTAAAACATTTTTAAAATATTTTTTTTTATTAGAATTAATGTGCCTTTTCTAATTTTTAAATTGAATTTATCAAGCTCAAATAATACAATTTAATATGAAATGTGTTGAAAAACTTTGCTAATAGTTATTTGTTTAGGTAATTAAAATAGTTACTTAAACAATTAATATAATTTAGGTAGCTATTATTATCATTCATTTTTTTAAATAAGTCTTAATTCAAATATTTTATTTAAATTAATTTTAAAGAAGTTTTTTTTTATAAATGAATTCTGTCATGAATGTAAGAATGAAATTAAGGTGCATTTGATATTTGTATAACTGGCAAACTTTAATTTATAATCTAGAAAAATTTATGTGTTGCAAATTTTATAAAACTATATAAACAAGTTCAAATTTATTCTAGAATAAATATTTAGAGCTATATTCGCTCAATTTTTAAATAACCTTACACATAATAACGAAACTTCTATGAAAAACAATTTTTATATTAGATTTATTATAATTTATTATTATTATAATTAAATTTAAATTAAATAAGCATAGTTATAAAATAAGAGCAATGAAGATAATGCTACCCACATAAGAAATTGACTATTGTATCGTACGAGACATCTAGATCGTAGGACGGCTAGTTGTGCACCGTACTAGAATGCCGTTTTATTTTAAGTCTGTTTAAATCGCAATTATTGAAGCGGGAATGGGTTACCTGTGGGATGACGGCTAACTGTACATTCATAAAGTAACGAGAGTAGACAATAATTAAATAACAAATAACCACATATATTAGAAATTCTTCAGAGAGTATCTTAAATTTAAGGGGTAAAGAGGGGACCTTAAATACTAATGGCCAGCATAGCGGCCTAAAATAAAATAGTTAATCTCAATTAAAACAAACAATAAATAACATTAAAAATAATGTAAACTAGCTGAATAGATGAAGTTGTTGGTAGGGATGAGCATACTGTATTAGATCTTGTGGTAATGGTGTCGAACATCTGAGTATCACGAGTCAGATGAAAGCAGACGATGGAAAAGCGACTATGGTAATGAAGTAATTTAGTGATGGTCAGGGTTCAATCATTGGTGGCGTGCAAAAGCACGAGAACTTTGAGCACAAGGGTACAATAAACAAGTAAAAGAAAAACGGCGTACAATGGCTGAACAATTTACCATTCAAGCGAAGGCGCTTGCTACAAAAAAAATATGACACATAAAACAATAGAATTACTGACTTACGACTAATTTTTTAACATAAAAATAGTATATTTTTATCTAAATCACCCATTTGTAAATAAAAGATTATATTTCGGGACAATTTTTTTTTTTAACTTACGGGACAAGCCATGCCAAATCATCCAGAAGTGGTTGCTCGACCACCTCATATTCTTCTTTAATTTTCAGGGTTTATTCATTATGCTATAATAAAATTGAAACAATTTTTTTTTTTAAGATTTTCTCATTTTTATGGCTATCTCAATATAAAAAAAGGGAAAAGTAGCCAGAACGTTAAAAACACACAGATTATTCAATATTGACTTAATTGAATTAAAATTTTACACTTAACCATATTATAACTTATAGTTTACATAAAAAAAAAATTATATGAAATAATTTTTACTGATTTTCTAATGCTAAATTTTACGTGTTACACTTTTTTCTCAAACTTAAAATTTTTATGGTGTATTAAGCAGATATATAATTAAAAATTAAAAAAAAATTTTTTTGTAATTAGGTTTCCCAACAGAAATAATGCACCCACAATTCGTGTATTTTTAAAACATTTCTAACTTTGTAGGCTTCTAAATCCCAAGAAAATTGTTTTAAATATTTGAAATTTTGTTGAAACATACATTATACACTATACAATATCATATTTGAAAATCACTATAAAATAATAACTTCTTAATGGTTTTAAGTGAGCTCAAAAACGCCATTTTTAGAAAGTTATTAAAGTTTAGAATTTCATATAATTTATTTTTTTTTTATGTAAACTATAAGTTATAATAATGTTAAGTCTAAAATTTTAATTCGATTAAGTCAATATTGAATAATCTGTGTGTTTTTTACCGTTGTGGCTATTTTTCACATTTTTTTACATTGAATTAGCCATAAAAATGGGATGGTCATGAAAAAAAAATTGTTTTAATCTAATTATAGCATAAAGAATAAACCCTGAAAATTTGAGAAATAAATGAGGTGGTCGTGCAACCACTTTTGGATGATTTGGCATGGATTGACAGTATGCAATATACCATTAATTTAAAATATGTTTAAAGAAAACAATACTTATAGAACATTTTCAAATTGGAAAAAGCACATCTTTTATAGAAATACAACAAAATTACCCTATTCGTTTTAGGGGAAATGGCCAAATTTAAAAATATATATGTTAAAATACATAAACTTCATTAATGAGTGTCCAAAAAATGTGTTGCTTTAATTGCTTTTTAATTAATTAATTTTTAAAAAAGTTATCGTTAATTTTAAGTTAATAAAAGTAAAAGAAAGTAAAAAAAAAGGTGAAATTTTGTAATTTTGAAAATTGTATTTTTCAATATTTAAGTGTAATATTTTCAACTAGATAAGATTTATAGTCTTATGACGTATAGTTAGGTAAATTTGAACCAGTGAGAAGTGAAATAATATGGCAACAGACATAAAAACAAATAAATAAAAATAAACACATCATAGTAAAACCTCTTCAGATTCGCATCGAAACGAACATATTTAAATGTTTTTAAAATTAAAAATTTTCTTGAAATAGTTAAGTATTGAAATCCTATTACTATTATTAACTATATCAAATCGATATATTCTTTTTTTTTTGAATCTAAAACATTGATAAATGTGGTTTTGGAATGGAATCCAAAATAAAATAAATCTTATTATTTAAAAGTAAAATAAATATACGTTACTGGGCTTCTTCTGATCTTGCAGTAAAAATGTCCCGTAAGTGTTTAAGACGCACTGAAAACCTAAAGCTTTATATCTGTTTTTGACTGTCCATTGTGCTACATTTTCGATTTTTATTTTTAGAAAATGATAGAACTCCTGTATTGCTGCTTCTTCGATTTCTTTGGTTTTTAAATAATCATATTCGTTTTTTAATGTTTCACAATCTAAAGTATAATTATTGTGGTCTTTAAAATGACAAAATTTCATGTCGACATTTAGTTCCTTGCGTCTTGTGGAAAAAAATTTTTTGATTGTAATTAATTTACTTTCTATATTCAATAAATCAATTATTGAAGGTGATAAAAAGTTTAAAAAAGACTCATCTGATAAGGATGATGTCATTTTACACAGTATACAGCTTTTCATTGGACTATTTATCCAAGGCTCATGACGTAATATGTTCATAGTATCTAAAGCTCTTTTCATTAGTATTACTAATGGACATAAGCTAGTAGATATAGTATCTAATAACTCAATGGTGCAATGGATCGCATTATCATTTTTGTCTTCACTATTTAACAACGATTTACAATGTTCTTGAAAGTAATCTATAAAAGTGAAAATTGTTTTTAAAATGTTTGCATACGAACATTCCAATAATAGTTTAGCTAATCGTATATTCGTATTGCAGCTATGAATTGTAATATCCATTCCGACTATTTGGTTATGATCATATTTGCGTCCACAGTAAGTAATAAAATCAACATCATTTATGTTTTTCCATTGAGCAGTTCCTAAAAAGTTTTTTAGAAATGCCGCCTTCATTTTTGAACAGGTTGGTGCTTCAATTTGTAAAAATACAAAGAAAAACATGAAATATGCTATTGTATACAGAATTGTCGTCATTTTAATATTCCTTAAATAATTTAACTACATTAACCTAACTACATTTAATGTATTAGAAAAAAACTGCTTGAAGTTAATTTTATATGTAAATTATTAAATGACACCATTATTTTTGTCTATTGTAATTTATTATTAGTCATATTAATAAATACTTTAAGTTTCATATTAATTTATTTCATATTTTTTATACTGAATTGGAAAAATATCTAAAACGAAGTTGAAATGGTTTGTATAGTGGGATAATATTTTTAACTGAGAAAAATTTTTTATGTAAATGCAAATTATTTAAAAATAAAAGCAAGTAAAATATTTATTTGATATTATACATGACATTAGGTAAAAATATCGATAAAAGTGTAATACTGATATCGAAATTCAATAATTCGATATATCATAATATTATATATAATAATCTAGTCTAGATTTCAATGTAGAAATCTTTATCGCTTCTCAAATGCACAAAATAAATTGTCTTTTATCGTGTACACAGGTTTTTTCTAATATTTAAAATAGAAATTAAAAATTATTCGCTTAAGTATAGACGAATAATAATAGTGTAGTGTTAATAATAATAGCTAGTTTAAAAACGAATCCTATCATCAGTGACACATACTCCTATATTTTTTAACTAAACTAATTAAATGTTATAATAATAGGCACTAATAAGGAGAGACAAAAAAGATTTTACGTCCAAAAATTGGAATCGCTCTTCTTTCCCCTCCAAAAAAAAAAAATTTTAGGCTCACACCAGTTATATATCTGGGGTTGTTCTAGTTCAAAGCCCCTTTCCTTACCTTTATGAACGTATTTTATCAAATGTCGGATACATTTCGAAGACCTTTATTGTAATAATTATTCGTTAATAGACAGTAATCAATTATAACGCTATTTTATTATATTAATTATTATTTATTAATTAGTGATAAGTGTTATATTTTTCCATCAGATAATATATTGCTACGATAATCATCTAATCCGAAATTTTAATTTTACAACGCTATGGTTTTAAATTTAAAGTCAAAATTCATATTTTTAAAGAAGGAAAAATATGTTCATGGTAAATACTGCCTTATTTAGTTGTTACCATTATAATTTTTGATAATCACAAATGTAATATCTACTCCATGGACTATTAGATATACATTTCTTCTTATCAAGTCCGCTTCAAATATTTTGATAATATTAATAACGCATACACCCTACGCCACGCTCAACGCACACCGACAACACTATTCCTGTGTAAATTTATTTTTTGTTATTGTACCTGTACACGCGTGCGTGTCATCAATATTATACAATATATAATAATATATATATTATATACATACAAATTTTTATTTTGACTATCCAATACCACCCGGGTGCCATACGCCTTACGTATATATATTTATATATTCCTACCGCCTCAACGTTATACCTCAAGTATAACGTTCCACCCGCCCAGGTAGATCACAAAACACGGCTATACCTAGTGCATGATACGTTTACGTACTTAAGTCGCCTTACTATATATACATATACAGGGTGGTCGCTATTTTTTATGTTTTAAAATTTGAGAAGCGCCGTGCGTAATTTTGTTCCTTTATGTCTAAAGATAATCTCTAAAAAATTTGAACATTTATTTATTTTTTGGATGGAGTTCACGTAATGGGGTATAAATTAATTTTGGACTTATATATTACTATTGTATTAAATTAAACATTAGAAACATTGGTAACAATATCATGTCCATATGGCCATTGATTATTAAGTAATTATCAAAAGCAGTTACATATAAACATACATTTTTGTTTATAAAACATTACATTTTTTAATATTATAACAATTATAATTCAAATCTCTAAGAAAATATAATATATAAAGCATTGTCATGTGTGGTCTTAATTGATTTTTATAAATATTTTAGAAACATCTTCATCAAGTTTTAAAAATAAATAAATCTTATTCCTTTTATTAAATATTTTGATAAGAAAAAATATTAATTAAAAAATAAAACACCTATGGATTTAAGACATTTTTGAAAAAATTAATTTATCTTATTTTTCCTAAACTTTCAATTGTATTAAGGCTAATGTTAAATTACATTAAAAAGAGGTATTTATCAAATTANAATTGTATTAAGGCTAATGTTAAATTACAATAAAAAGAGGTATTTATCAAATTAGTATCATTTGTAATTATATTTTCTAGATAAAATTTTTAAGGTATACTTTGTTAAGTCATTTAATAGCTTCAACATAATTTAATTATTATCTTTTTTTTTTTTGAGAAGTTAATTTTTTTGTTTGAATTTTTTTCTAGATCAAATATCAAAAATTGAAGACACAATCAAAGAAAAGGTTCATGGTGTTCTAGAAAGTGATTTACAATGTTCAATTTGTAATGAATTAATGGTTAAGGTATTATTTTTACATTTAAATCCATTAATAGTGTAAATATAACACGTCATCATGTTAAAAGTTCTTAGCAAATTTATTATGTTACTTTGGTTAAAAAATGCATTAGGGAATACTTTTTAATCAATTTTAAGATTATTAAATAATATAAAGTGATAGTAGAGAACTGAAAACTTTTTGAACTTTCTAGTTCTAAAATTATAAATAAAATTTCTGAAAAGTAAAGCTAATTTTTTTTTTATTAGTTAAAAAAGTAAATAAATGTGTTTAAAAATCAATTGTTAAATTCATATAGTAAAATCTAGTTAAGTAATTTAAAATGCTTTTCTTTAGGTAAATGTACATATTTTTATTTTGAACTAACAATTAATATGATTGCTAAACATAGGAAGACACAAATTTTCATTTTAAAATAAAATTTGCTTAATCTTCTAAGATAAAAACGATATTACAATTACTTCATTTACTTATATTTACATTACTTTACCATGATGTGTCACATTTTAAAGTAAATTTGTTTGTTTATGAAAATAAAATGCAATTTAGGTAAAATGAAAAATATTACTATGTCATTGTCTATATATTATTATTTTATAATTTAGTAACTTTTTTTATCCAAAATTTAAATAAATTTTTAAATTTTGTTTTTGATAAATTAGCTTCTAAGAGACTGAAAAAAAAATCACATACTTCATAATTATACCAGCAAAATTATTTTATTTTAGAACTTGGGTTTGGAATTTAAATAAAACATATTTTATCTCAAAATTGTAGTAATACAAAAATAAGCAAAAATGTTGTTGTTTGGGGTATTTTATTTGACCAATTTTTGATATTTGGGGATTTGGTCAATTCAGGAGCAACGAGGTTCTATCGGGGTTGTAGAGTCCGAGGGTTTAGAATAGTAAAGACAAGTAGATATAAAAAGATTTGTATAAAGTTCCTCTCATAGAGGTATTAAAAATGACCTAACTGGTACAGTGGCGTATTTACAAATTTGCTCAGGGGGGGGATGAAATGAATAATTCTCCATAGACTTGTGGGGGCTTCCCCCTCCCCGCCACCCCACAAAGTCCAAGAAACTAAATAACATAACATAAAAATTTAATTTTTAAAATTCACCAACTTATCACTTAATTAAAACACAATATTATTAAGTTATTATACACTAACTAGGCTCCGCCTAGCTGGTGCTCCGCCCCAGACCCGGGGCCCTAAAAAAATATTNGCCCCAGACCCGGGGCCTTAAAAAAATATTGATAGCGCTTGTTCAAGGAGGGGCCAATCTCTCTTAAATACACCCCTGTTATACACAAAAATTATTAATAATCTAATTATAATAATTGTTTTTATATTATAGAATAATTAAAAAAAAATTTAGCAGGTTATTATAAGTGGCACACTGTAAATTTAAATTAAAATTAATATTAAAAATAAAAATAAAAATTTAATTTTGATAAATATATTAGTAACTGCGATTTAACGATGAACATCATAGTTATCATAGATGAACCCCAATTCAAAGGATAAACTCATAGTCTCATACATCATATATGAGAAAAAAGAAAATTATTCCTTGATAAAAATAGGGCAAATGCAAAATAGTGTCCTACTAATAATACATAATACACCATATAAATAAGGTTCATAATACGTATCAGCAGAAATGAATCACTGCGCATAATACAACCATGCGCGTGGACTTAAAAAAAAAGCTCGTAAAATGTGAAAAATGAACGGATTGAATTGATTTTTTTATCATATGTCAGGAATGTCATTGGGCGGGTCTGATGAAAATTTCAAACCTTAAGTCGTAAAACGCTGGCGTCAGCGAGCGTTTTTCTCGAAAACGGTCGAAATTTTAAAACGCTCGCGGGCGAGCGGCAAAAATTTTCCGACCTTCGCCAATAATTTTCCCGGAGTCTGGTGACCGAGTACTTTCGTTGAAAAAAAAATTTTTGAAAATCCGAGCACGCTAAGTAATTTTCCCAGAAAAGCGTTTTTTTCCTTGTTCTATTATATAATAAGAT